TGATTGTCTTTGTGCCTACTGATACTTTTTGTTTTAAAGTCTATTTGGTTAGATCTTAAAACAGATACACCAATTTGTCATTGGTCAGTTAGAAAGGATAATATTTCTCCATCCTTTCCTCTCCCCACCCCCTTCCAACATTTTACTTATGCTTTGGCAGTGATTCTTTTAAATAGTATATAACCAGGTTTTAAAAACTCCAATTTCACATCCTCTGTTGAGTTCACTCTATTTGGATTTATTGTGGTTATTGATACATGTGGATTTCTTTGTACCATTTTACCTTTCCCTTCTGTTTGGTTCCATTTTTTTTCAATATTTCATTTTCTCCTTTCTTATTTCAACATTTAATATCTCTGTCTTACACCTAACAGAAAGAACTCGAGTGCTTTCATATCTATTGGTTTCCCCTCTGTCCACCTTCTACTGTAATGTTGGTTCTTTTTCTAGATCTCCAGTTTTCATTCTGGGTAATTATGAACACACTTAACATTTTCCATTCTCTGGTCTTCTTAAAAAAATATATACAGGTACACATTTTACTGAGGTGTTTGAGCACCTTTGTAGCCTATATTTCTTGCGTTTCTTAGTTTTGTTATTTTTATTTGAATTCTTTTTATTTGAATTCTTCCTCCCAACATGTTCTCATTTGGGTTTTCCTGTATTAAGACTTGTGTCTGAAAATATTTTTATGCCCCTACAGTTGAATTTCATTTGGCAGGATATTAATTCCAGGATCAAGGTGATTTCGCTTCAATGCTTTGAACACTTTATTCATTGTTTCTTGTACCCAGTATCGCTGTTAGAAATCTTAGGGCTCGCACATTGGTAGGTAATCCACTCATTCTCCCTGGAAAGGTTTATACGTTTCTCCTTGGTTTTGATATTTTTAAGAATACTCTATTTGGATGTGGGCTTTTCCTTGTCTTTTTTCTTGTGTCTGTGGGGTCCTTTGAGCTGAAGTGGTTCATTTTTTCTTTAATTCTGGCAATTTTATCTCCACTATTTTTGTCCAAATATTTCTTCTTCTTTTAATTTCCTTTTTATCTCATTTGGGGACTGTTGGGATTTCCCTGGCGGTCCAGTGGTTAAGACTCCATGCTTCCAATGCAGGGGCGGAGGGTTGGATCCCTGGTTGGGGAACTAAGATCCCACATGCCGTGTGGCGTGGCCAAAAAAGAAAACAAAAGCATATTTGGGGACTATTATAATCTGAGCTGAGATCTTCTATTTCTGTCCTCTATCTATTGTAACTTTTCTTTTCTTTTTTTAAAAAATATTTATTTATTTTGACTATGCCAGGCTCTAGTTGCAGCATGCATGCGGGATCTAGTTCCCCGAAGAGGGATTGAACCCTGGCCCCCTGAATTGGGAGTGCAGAGTCTTACCTACTGGACCACCAGGGAAGTCCCAACTATTCTTTTCATATGTTGTGTGCTTCATCCTTCCCTACTTCCTTCTAGGGGAGACGTCAAAGGCCCTTCCAGCTCACTGACGTGTCTTCAACTGTATTCATTCTATTCTTCATTCCGCCATTGGGTTCTTCCTATTCTATTTTTCAGACATAATATTTCCACTTTTTACAGAACTGCATACACATTTCCTTTTCACATAATTTACGTGATTACATGACTTCTTGTTTTACATTTTATGTACATAATTTCTGATGTATATAATTTCCATTTTTTCCTTGCAGTTTTGAGATATATTTGACATACAGCATTGTATAAGTTTAAGGTGTACAGAATAATGATTTGACTTACATATATCATGAAATGATTAGCACAGTACGTTTAGCAAACATCCATCATCTCATATAGATAGAAAATTTTTTCCTTGTGATGAGAACTCAGGATTTACTCACTTAATAACTTTCGTATGTAACATAGAGCAGTGTCAATTATAATTATCCTGTTGTACATTTCTAGTACTTATGTATCTTATAACTGGAAGTTCGTACCTTTTGACCACCGTCATCTAATTCCCCCTCCCCCAGTCTCCCGCCTCTGATCACCACAAATCGGATCTCTTTTTCTATGAGTTTTCTTGTTTGTTCATTATTGAAGTATAATTGACCTACAACACTATGTTGGTTCCTGTTACACAACACAGTGATTCGCTATTTCTGTATGTTTCAAAATGATCACCATGATGTCTAGTTACAATATGTCACCATACAAAGATATTGCAGAGTTATTGACTGATGTACCTAATTTCTTATCCTCACTTTCACAATGGTAATATCATCACTCACTTCTCTTAGTGCATTTAGCGTGCTTAGTTTAAACCCTGGATCAAAGTGTTCTAATACTTGTGCTTTGGAGGTACAGGAAGTTCCCAGGTTCCGTTGGCTTGTTTTCCTTCCGGGACATTTACACTCCACGGGTGTCCAGTCCTGTGAGCTGGGAGGGCATATTCCCCTGGCGATGTTAGTTACTCAGTCTGGAGTATTGATTGGGTGAAGGTGAAAGGCAGATGATAGTCTGTGTCGGCTCAAAGGAGCAACGGGGACCAGCCCCAGGGTGGAGCTCCCCCAGGCACCAAAACCACTGCCCATCATTCCCACTTCCTGTCCCCCCAAGAAAGCAGCTTAAGTAGCCCCTTTGCCTTCTGACCCTCAGAGAGAAGGAGCTTTGGGCAGGGACTCTTCGTGGATTTTGATCCACTGGACTCTGGAGTTTGGAAAGGAGAAGATGATGACAAGAATCCCAGAGGCCAGTGAGGCTCCATCTCTGCTCTCCTTCTCTTCACTCCAGGAAAGCTACGGTGCTGATGCAGCACTTACCTCTGGCCACCTGCATATCACCGTCCTGTCCAACGCTGTCTGAATTCTGCAGGCAATGATTGTCCCAAGGCAAGAGTAGCAGAGAGAAAGGAGCAGAATTCAAGCACATTTGAGGGGAAACATCCTCTTATCAACAAGGCAGATTCCCCAGCCCTGGGCTGTAGCACATCGCCTCCCCGACCCCATTTGTTCACATTAGCCTTTACTTCCCCCTAGGGACTTCAGTGTGATCAACTGATTATCAAGCAATCGACTAATTGATTTATAAAATTTTGTCATCCTGTAGTTCTATCTGTAGTTCTTCTTTGCTGGATCTTGGTGAATAGAGCCAGTGGCATGTGTGAATTCACTATCTTGACAGAACTGTGACAGAGAGCTTTGTTTTCCCCATTATTTTACTCTCAACCTTTCTGTAACTTTCATACTGTGGGCAGAATAGTAAAGCGATGAGCTTCATAGTCCCTGGAGTTCAACTTCCTGTGTTCAAGTCCTCGATCCAACCACTTCCAAGCTGTGTGACCTTGGACAAGTTAGTTAACCTCTCTGTTTCTTTATTTTCTCTTCTGGAAATAAGACTGTGGATATGGCGGTAACTGTTTCATTGGGTTGTTACAAGAAATGCTTAGAAATGTGCCTAGGTCATGGGGAAATTGCTTACAACTGTTACCTAATGTTACTATTCCCCCCTCTAATAAGGAACTGCATGAAGGCAGGTATTTTGGGCTGTTTCAGTTCCTCTTATGTCCTCATTTGCAAGAATGGCACCTAACTCATAGCCAGCACTCGGCAAAGAGGTATTGAATGAAAGAATGCACATATCACTTTCTCCTGTTTATTCATCTGAGCTGCATGTTGCCTTATGATGACCAATTTAATCCCTTCTTAATACATGGTAAGGCTATTATTAATGGACGCACATCCTTATTTCTCCCTCTTTGGCTGCAGTAGCGTCAGTACACCTAGCTGCTTTGTCATTTCATTTTACCTTGCTCATGTCTAATATGGGCAGCTCTGTCTGGATATTCTGTTTTTTTGCTGAGGTCATAAAACCATTTGTTCCTAACCCGGAACTCGTTTTTTTTTTTCTTTCTGAGCTACTTTTGAAGGTTAATGTTGCTTTCAACACTCTCTTCTATAGCATGATGATGTAGGGGTGTGGGCAGACTTGAGAGAGAAAAGGGAATGGCTTCCCAGTGTCTGGGTACCATCTTTGCTGGGAGACTTGGGTCCTGCTTTATTTTCATTTCTGTTTTATGGAGCCCAGGCCCAGGATCCGGAATTGCCATCTCTTTTTAAAAATTATTTATTTATTTATTTATGGCTGTGTTGGGTCTTCGTTGCTTCGTGCAGGCTTTCTCTAGTTGTGGAGAGCAGGGGCTACTCTTCATTGCAGTGTGTGGGCTTCTCATTGCAGTGGCTTCTCTTGTTGCAGAGCACAGGCTCTAGGCATGCAGGCTTCAGTAGTTGTGGCACGTGGGCTCAGTAGTTACGGCACCCGGGCTCAGTAGTTGTGTTTCGCAGGCTCTAGAGCACAGACTCAGTAGTTGTGGCACACGGGCTTAGTTGCTCCATGGCATGTGGGATCTTCCTGAACCAGGGCTCGAACCCATGCCCCTTGTATTGGCAGGTGGATTCTTAACCACTGCACCACCAGGGAAACCAGAATTGCCATCTCTTTTCTGGTTTCTGCATAAGCTATCTCACAGTACACCAGGAAGTTAGAAATTTGCTTTGTTTCCTTGTCTCTAATCCAGTGCTCCTAGCAAACTAAGCTGCCTGAGGTCAGGGTCCATGTCTGTTTTCTCACACAGTCCACCTGGCCCCTCGCCCAGGACTTGGCACGGGAGATACTGTCAATAACACAGCAGACCTGGGTTTGAGCCCTGGCTCTGCCATTTACTATATGAGTGACCTTGGGCAAGTTACTTTACCTCTCCCCACCTCAGTTTTCCTACCTGTAAAATGGGGATAATGAGAGTATCATTCATACTGGGGCTTTCTGTGAAGGTTAAATATGATTCGTAAGCCCTTGATATGGCCTAATCAGTCTTAGTATTACAAAACTGTAAATGAATGAGTGAATATTTGAGTTCATAGGAAACACGTGTGGAATAAGAAGATGAATGAATAAATGTCCCTTCAGGCCGACTTTCCCTTGGAGGGGAAAGTGCCTGCCTTACTCCTTCTCTGACTTCCTTTTCTCCCCTTTACTCAGGGTTCCAGGCAAAAGCCCTGGCCAGACGGCCCCCCAGACCAGACGTCGTCCCCTGCAGAGGATGCCCCGCCTTCAGGGGAGCAACAGGAGCTCCATTACGCCTCCCTCAGCTTTCGCGGGATGAAGTCTCGCGAGCCTTTGGACCAGGAGGCCACCAGCACCACCGAGTACTCAGAGATCAACACAAGCTAGTGAGGACTCGCCCAGAGCTTGGTCCTGGCTGGAGCAATCACAGCCTCTGTGGGGAAAAGGAGAAGTCAGGGACTAGTTGGTGAAGCCTTTGTGGCAGTATTAGCATTAACTACTGTATGAGTGTCCCCAGGTAGAGCAGAAGGAAGACAGGTGATAGGATTAGAGACTTGGGCCCAATCAAATGCTGGTTCCAGCACTTCCTGAGGCATCGTTAGCAAGCAATTCACTTTATCTCTGCGTCTCAGTTTTCCGTCTGTAAATCAGAGATCATGTGTCTCACCTCAAAGCTGTGTGAGAATTAAAGAAAGAACACATCAAAATCAACCAACAGAGGTCCCGTCATGTGGCGTGCGCTTAGTGTCTGCTGGTTTCTCTTCCTTGAAGAGAAAGGTCCTCCTGGCAAGTTCTCCTGAGGCTGGGGGTGACTAGTGTTGACCTGAAAAAAATAGACGGCCAGACATTTCTCCAGCAAACATGGGTTTATCCGGCGTTAGCTGAGCGTGGCAACTTGGGGTCTGCAGCCGTTATGAGCCACGGGCAAGTTCTGACACAGCAAGGGAAGGAGACCGCTTTTATAGAGGGGCGAAGGAAGTTGGGGGCTAGAGTAAACAGAGTCCCTGGCTTTTCATTGGCAGAGTCCTTGCCAGGAAAGAAGAGCAGTCTTTCTTCTTCCTGTTGGGCTCTACTCATCACGGGCAGTGAGAGGTCTCCCTCTGGTCTCCTGACTCTATTAAACTGAGGCTTCATTTTATTCATTTTTTACACCAGGCACAGAGGACAGGGTGGCAACTTGTTGATGTCATTCTCCTTCCCAGAACTCTTCAAAGCCTCCCCAGGGAAAGATCAGCCCCTCAGCCTGACATTCGGTTCATAATCTTTATCTCCTTGCCTCACTTTTTTTTTTTTTCTTTTTGCGGTACGCGGGCCTCTCACTGCTGTGGCCTCTCCCGTTGCGGAGCACAGGCTCCGGACGCGCAGGCTCAGCGGCCATGGCTCACGGGCCCAGCCGCTCCGCGGCATGTGGGATCTTCCCGGACCGGGGCACGAACCCGTGTCCCCTGCATCAGCAGGTGGACTCTCAACCACTGCGCCGCGAGAGAAGCCCCTTGCCTCACTTTTGTCTGTCAATTCTTGCAGCACATTTCCATCTCCTGACCTCCAGTCCCTTCCCTATCTCATTTATGGACCCTAAAGGGATCTTCGCAACAGCCAGAGGGCTGACCCTTCCTCTCCTGCACAAACCTGTTTGTGGCTTCCTGGTCTTAGTACATTGCAAGCATCTGTCCCAGCATTTAAAGTCCTTCACGGGGACTTCCCTGGTAGCACAGTGGTTAAGAATCCACCCACCAATGCAGGGGACACAGGTTCGATCCCTGGTCTTGGAAGATCCCACATGCTGCGGAGCAACTACGCCTGTGCACCACAACTACTTAGCCTGTGCTCTAGAGCCCAAGAGCCACAACTACTGAGCCCGCGGACCACAACTACTGAAGCCCGCGCGCCAAGAGCCCATGCTCTGCAACAAGAGAAGCCACCACAATGAGAAGCCCGCTCACCACAACAAAGAGTAGACCCCGCTCGTCGCAACTAGAGAAAGCCCGCGTGCAGCAACGAAGACCCAACGCAGCCAAATAAATTAAATAAAATAAATCAATTTATATATAAAAAAGACCAATTACATTCCAAAGAAGAGCAGTTTGACTGACTTATCAAGTAGCAACAAGGAGAGCAGAAGAAAGCAAATACTGTCTTGAAATATAATTTTATAACCTATACTCTGTAAAGATAATTCAAAAATGAGGAAGCAGTACAATTTAGAACAAATACATGAGAGGTTCTCTACCGGTAGAATAACCATAGAAGATAGTTTAAAAATTCCTGACAGTAGGGATTTCCCCAGAGGTCCAGTGGTTAAGACTCTGCCTGCCAATGCAGGGGGCATGGGTTCAATCCCTGGTCAGGGAGCTAAGATCCCACATGCTGTGGGGTGCGACCAAAAACTTAAAAAGATTTCCTGACAATAACAACAGCTAAGTCCAAAGCTGGGGGTGGGGGGAGGTAAGTGTACTTTACATTTCCTAATATCTGCAGATTATCCAGGAGGAGATAGAGGTTTTCATTTACTTTAGTAGGTTAATTATGCATGCAGGAATTTTATGGTAATGACGACAAGAATAGAATCAGAATGTATGACTTACAAACTAGAAGTCTTTAAAAGTATCCTATAAAAACGTAGTAAATCAAAAGAAGACAAGAATGGAGAGATAAAATAATGTGAAATTGGTGGCACATATAGAAGATAAAATGTAACGTGGGGTACCTACATTGACTATACTGGATAAATGCTTCAGTTAAAAACAGAGAGTCAGCTTGGATTCTTATTCCAAGTATATGCTCTTTACAATATATTCATCTAAATTATAAGGATAGAGAAGGTCAAATGTAAAAGCAGACAAAATTAGATACCATGACAACATTAATTAAAAAAGAAAGCCTTCCGAAGCCCCTCCGACTTAGGTGCCCTGCTGGCCTGAGGCTCAGGACCTTGTGTCTGTGGACTGGGGTCCTTGACGGAGTTGGGGTTTTCCTGAACTCAGTGACCAGCTATGATCCAGAACCATGGACAGCGTCAACCGTTCAGCTAGGACCTCCCCGGGGTCTGGCAGGGTGGTTGGAGTGCCCCCTGGGGGCAGATCCCTGACCTGTCTCAATTGCAGAGGAAAGAGGGCTGGAGGAATGGGAGTGGTGACATTCTGTCCCTCAGGACAGAGGTGCTCATCAGGGGACAGCCAACTCCTCAGTCTCCCCTGAAAACCTCCTCATCCTAGGGAAGAGGGGACTTAGCTTCAGAGACACAATGCATTTCTCACAGTTCTTTGCCCCTCGGGGCTGACTCTACCCTCACCCCCTGCAGAAAATCTTCCCTGTGTCAGATTCCTCCCCTTTCTCCCCTCACTTTCCAGTAGGTTGATAGTTTGTTCTTGTTTTTAATCCCTTTCTCATACTGTCATGGAACTCTGGATGACGGAGAACGTGGTTTATGACCATTTTCTAAGCCTGGTGCTCTGCCACGTCCTGATTCAGCTCAAATAAAGGAATCAGAAGTCTGGTTTAGCTGATGGGTCACAGAAATAAATTCTAAGTTTTCCTTATTCTCCATGAACGGTAAATTTTCAGATTGGGGAAAGGATCTTGTGGCCTCAGTGGAACACAGCATGGAGAGAGTTATCATGAAGTGCAGAGGAAGCCAGGCAAGGTCTGGAAAAAGTAGTAGTGTGGTAAGGAGAGGAAGCTTCGATAGATACCATAAAGAGGGCAGACTTTCTGAGGCTGGAGGGCTTGTACAGAAGTTAGAACTCATTCTGCAGGTGTGAGTGCAGGGCTCATGGGAAACCTGGGAATGGACTGAGAGCCACATGCAAATCCAGTGGCTTTCTGAACTGAAATTGACACCAGAAACCTGCACATCACGCCCAGTTCTGGGTCTGGACCCAGCACCCCAGTTCTGTTTCAGCCTCTGACCAGAAGGAGCCCCTTGCAGATGAGTTTGAGGTCAGCCATCCCTTGTTGAAGCTTCTTGTGTGATCAGGCCTGGGCTAAGAGCCAGGATTGAGAAGATTCTGTTTCAGGTAGGTCCTGTGCCCCCCACACTCCCCTGCTCTGAGAGAATTTGAGGAGAGCAGCGAGAGACCACAGTCCATCCATTTTCTGAAGGGGATGGAGATGGACACCTGGGGGAGGCAACATGAGTGGAGAGTTGGATGGAAGGAACCACCTTGACAGGTTATCATCAGACCTGGGATGAGAAGAGCTCAGCCTTTACTTCCCTGGTCATCACTGGGGAGAAAGAGGGAGGAGTGGGGGCAATCCAGTCCAGAAAGAGTCTCTGGATGACTGCTGCTTCTGAAGCTGCCCTTGATCTCCAGATAGAAGGAACTGATCTGGTGGTGTCAGTCATCCCAGACTTGCCCCATCCAGGCCCAAGCTGCTGCCACTTCCCTGGCTGTGAGTGTGCAGGGTAAGTGGTCTGCAACACGTGACTCTATGCAGGGTCCTTGGTCTCCACTTTGGGGTACAACTTGGAGAAGCACAAAGGGTAGGAGCTGCAGGTATAAGGATTGGGGACACTGTGTAGGACAAAGTGCTTCTTCCTGCTCTGACCTTCTCTCATCCTGAAATTTCTAGGTTTACTCTAAAAGAGTCTACATCTTCTGATTTATGGAAGGGGCCAACATAGACCACGACCCTCCTATGCCCACAAACAGACCAGGTCAAAAGCTGCAAGGGACGATCAAGGACCTTGGGCCTTTTCCATCTCTTTGAGAACCTCCTCCTATGACTGCTCTGTGAGCAACAGAGATGCCAGGATGGGGGCAAGCAGGACACTGGGAGATGGCGTGAGGTTCATCCCAGTGTCATACTTTTCTGAGCTCCTGTTCTCTCTGTCCCGCCCCAGTGTTGACCCAGACACCTGACATCTATATCCTGGGGACCCTGGAATCTGGGCACAAGAGAATCCTGACGGGGTAGGGCACCCAACAACTGGCAAGCGGTGTCTCTGAGTCACCCTCCCCCCAACACACATCTTATGGTCGTGAAGATGCAGAAGCTCTGCGTCCTTGCACCTTCCCCACCACAAAATGCTCAGGTGGACTCAGATCCACTTCATGGCTGCTGGTTCTGGGAAGGAGACATCCTCACCTAGATGGGAGGAATCAGGGAGGCTTCTGGGAGGCCCCTGGAGGATGTGAGCCAGAAGATGGGAAAGGAGGGCACTCCTGACAAGGGACCAGCCCAGCAAAGCTCGGAGGTGGGACCGAGGACACCAAGTCTCCCCAGGGGTCAGGCAAGAAGTTTCTGAGCCTCACACCTGTCTGGACTGGCAGGGAGGCAACCCTGCAACCCAGAGCCCCCTGGTGGCCAAACTTTAATACGAACAACCAAGTCGGACACCATTACCAAATACTCACAACAGTGCTTCGCTAGGAGGCTTTGATTCCATTTTCAGTGGAGGAAATGGAAGACCAGAGAGGTTAAGTCACTAACCCAGGCTCACCCAGCTTTGCCTCTAGAATCTGAGGTCTGGGGAGCTCCCCCAGCGGCTCCCCACCCATCACACAGAGACTGGGGGTAAGGACTAAATCCACTGTCTTGAGGAGCCCTAGGCAGCCCTGGGTGTAAGCCCCTAGTTGGGGCTCCAGCAAGGTGACCTCAGGCTAGTTGGCCTCAGGCTGTAACAGGGAAGAGTCAATCCTGACTACGTGTGGGATCTGTTTCTTTTACTTTAACCTTTGCTTTCCGCCCCTTTTGTTCACTGAAAGGATA